TTGGTTCACTCTCTGGCTATGATAATAATAATTAAATAAATTAGCACGATGATATTGTGTATCGGTGATCTCACAGGCTGACGATAGGATGATATGACTATGAAGCATATCGCCCAACACTCTTTACTGTCACTTTTACACATTTTAATCCATCCTCTGTGAATAAAAGTATTCATTACTTTCAAAAACAACAACAACAACAACAACAAAAACGTACTGACCCAATACTTTTGAATGGTGGGCTTAAACGTCTCTGTAAAGTATATTAAAATTATATAAATAATATAAACATTAAATATTGTTAGGTTTCAGAGCCTATTAATAAACAAAATAATAATTAAAATGCAGGACAAATGTAAAATGACAGAACTGTCAATGTGTCTTGATACTCTTAGAAGATACTGCATTACAGTCAAGGAGAGTACATTTTGTAAATTATCATCAGTTTTATTTTTCCTTAACTTATAAATGACTGCTGTTTATAGTGGGACATACACAACATAAAATGTTCAGTGTGCATGTGTATTTCAATGACCGTTGTTGTTTATTCACCTGCAGAAGTGCAATTCCTATGAAGATTCCGGCAACTACGGTTAAATTCTCCTGTAACCATTTCTCAAACTGTGGTACACATCCTTTTGTGTGTATAAACATCTTCTGTTCGTTGTCCTTCACACATAAAAACACACATTAGCCAAAGATGCAAAAGGTTAAACAATTCTACTTACAAAACATTAGAGTAAGCTATCGTATGGCTTCAGAGGACTTGGAATATAGTGCATATGAACCACTTTGATAATAATTTTATGGGGATTTTGTCTCATTTTGGACATTGACAGCCCCAGTTCTCAGTCACTTCATTTATATGGAAAAGAGTGGCTAGGATCTTTAAATCCAATTTTGTTCCACAGAAAAAGAAAGTTTGTGAATAAACGATGACTTTTTGGGTGAATATTCTTTTGACAAATGCGTACTTACATCTTTCGCTCGAATGTCATATCCACACTGTGTGTTTATCACATCCTCCTTTGAGAAGAGAAACAATAAGAAAGCCAGGATTTAGTCCTCTGGATAACTTAACATTCCACATTAAATCATAGGCTTTGAGCATTATATTAAATGGAGAACTGTTGTGTTGTATGTGGGTGCGCTCTGTCTGCTGGATCTACATCACTTCCTGTTTATGTTCCCACGTCTTCTGGAAGGAGACAATGACACATTCTAGGCGGAAAGATGACTGGAAGACGTGTGTCTGTGTGTGCTGCATGCGTGTTAAGAGTGTATACGCTGTGTTTACTCACAGCAGGGTCCTTGGTGCAGCAGGAAAAGGGAACCCCACATTTCTCTCTGCTTAGATTAGTGTCAGTACAATTAAAGTAAATGTTCAGATTCCAGTCTTCAGGCCCAAAGGCTCCACAACACTCCCACTGCAGAAACATACATGCATTGAATATCCATGTGCGAACCAACCAACAGCTGAAAGCCATTACAGATTTGAACGTATTGCTGCTAGCTCACAAAATTGCAAAATCAAGTGTATTTTTACATTTTCATATTTAATATATAGTAATAGAACTAAATATGAATAACTTATTGAATGGCTAATGCATTTATGTGTGTTTATATACATACATTATATATATTAGTGCTGTCAAATGATTAATCGCGATTAATCGC